GTGGTAGATGGATGAAATGACTGGTGGAACTAGCGGCAAATTTTAGGCAAACCGTGGAAAGGCAGGATCGTCGAGTATTGCTAGTACATATAATCGGAGTCTGGCGTTTCTTCGGGTCGAAATACAGAACAAGACATATTTGCCTGAAGATGCAGATGCATATGTTTGCATTTGTATCTACGTGTCTACGAAAAAAGCGTACGGCCACGCAGGATAAAGGGGAATACGAGGTAAAGGCGCGAGGGAGAGTGGGAAAAGGCAGCACGAGCGAGGGGGGTTAAGGAAAGCAACGCAAAACCGGCTACTAATGTATGCAGAACCAGTGGCAGGAGTGGAGTAAAGCAGCTGGTAGAGCTGGGGAGCAGAAAGTCCCTCATCGGTAAGGGCAGCCGTGCTACCGGCAGCCGCGTCACACGCTTCCTGATCTCCTGTTGCATAAAGAAAAGCTTGCTATCTTGCCCCGTTCTGCTACTGCTCGCAATGGAGCACATACATAGGTGGGGCAGCGGGCATGATGTGGGAATTACGGGAGACCAAGAAGTCGAGAAGCGGCAACGGCAAAATAAGTGCTGGTGGTAGTGAAGCATTAGTGGAGGTCGTACATTATTTGCGATATTTTAGTAAGGACAGTGTGTCTCCATCGGCTTTATTTCGTCGTCTTGTCGAACGAAGCCGCTGTTGCTCCAGTTACCGCGGCCGTCAACGTCGCCACCGACTGCTGGGGCTCCTCGTTTTCAGCCAACAGAATAGACCCAAGGAAAAGCACAGGTCTGGGGAAATATTACCCCTGCCTGCCCTCCTCTAAAATGTGGGGACAAGGCGGACTCGCGGGCGTGGAAATATTACGACTGCCAAAGAGTCGACGGTATACAAATCAGGGTTGGGGTGGGGAATCTCGAGTTGCTTCACCGCTACTTCTGCTACTACTAGCACTGGCCGTGCGTCGAACAAACAAAAGGGTGAAAGGAATAGAAAAAAGAATAGGACAGACCCGACGGCGGGGGGTGGGGGGAGGGGCGGCTGGCCAACAACCCGCCAGTTCAGTCGGTATGACTATGGTGCTTCTGCTGCATGAGTTCACGTGTATGCAGTAACTCTAGCTATTCCGTTGAGCGGCAGCGGTAAAGGCAGCGAAGAGAAAGCGAAGGCCAAGAGAAGAAGACGAGGATACTCTTGAAACTCATGTATTTTTCGAGTATTTTTCCCCATCGGTTCGTTTCGAGAGTTACGTACTCTACATTGGTTCCCATTTGCACATCCTATTGGCAGTAATCCCCGCATGCGGTCCGTGTCCCCGTATATGCCCCGTCAACCCCTTAGCCAGGCAGTCCGTGCGTTTCTACACGCGGTCGAATATAGTCACGCAAGTCTTATTCAGATGTTGCACAGTCACAGGCTACCCGTATGCTTCCTTTTGCTACGACTGACGCTGCTGTCGGTGCCCTCTTAGAAGACACTAATATCTCTTTCAACCCCATTCCACCATTGTACAACTTACGTCGCGTGCATAATATTAAACACAATACGACCCAGCAGAGATACTGCAGCTGCTGCTACACATTCATACGATGAGGCTTAAAGATACGAAATACAGAGGCCGATGCGCTGTACAGAAACGAGACCGTGTTTCCTTTACGGGCGTACAACGGCACACGGTATGTCATTCGTTGTTTATGTTGTCGGTTCCGTTCAGTGCCTCTCCTGTTGTTGTCGTTGTCGTTGTTGTTGTCGTTGTCGTTGTCGTCGTCGTCGTCGTTATTGTTGTTGTTGTCGTCGTCGTCGTCGTTATTATTATTATTATTATTGTTGTTGTTGTCGTCGTCGTCGTTATTATTATTATTATTATTATTATTATTATTATTATTATTATTATTATTGTTGTTGTTGTTGTTGTTGTTGTTGTTGTTGTTGTTCGTCGTCGTCGTCGTCGTTGTGGTTGTTGTCGTTGTCGTCGTCGTCGTTATTGTTGTTGTCGTTGTCGTCGTCGTCGTCGTTATTATTATTATTATTGTTGTTGTTGTTGCTGTTGTTGTTGTCGTTGTTGTTGTTGTTGTCGTTGTTGCCGCTGTTGTTGTTGTTGCTGTTGTTGTTCTTGTCGTCGTCGCCGCTGTTGTTGTTGTTGCTGTTGTTGTTCTTGTCGTCGTCGTCGTCGTCGTTGTTGTTGTTGTTGTTGTTTCTATAATTTAAATCAATACCGATTGTTTGTCGGCTTGGTACCGACTAGAAGGTGAAATCACCGTGCCCGACTGGCGCACAGATGCCCCTTCCCATTCCGTTAGCTCTGTCTGCCAAATTGGCTGATTTGGAGCGGGTGGATCGACTCCAGCGTAGCTTAAATGTAACAATTTGTTGGCGATACCTAAACGAACAGCAATGAGCGCATTCTTATAGGAGCAAACCTGTAAAGGGCACGTACATGATCTAAAATACGTATATAAGCGTAACTTTCCAGCTCGTATAATTCTTCTACAAATAGCAAGTAATGTCAATATTTTTTCTCCTTGTTAAGTCACGCATGCCATTTTATAGCCTTGGTCTCTCCTTGTTGTCACTGTTACTGCCGCCGCTACTGTTGTTTTGTCCTTAAGATCTTACTTTCAACATAGTCTGACAGAAGGAACAGCGAATATGGGACTTGGGAAATATGAGCGACGAGGGGAGAAAGAAAGTATGCAATATTGACTATCGGCTCTTCGAGCCCCAAGTCGCCCAAGTAGCAAGGGTCACCACCGTTACTGCTCTCATTGTGCGGTGGCCGGATGTTTAATTCGATTAGTTTACTTAATAATAATAATAATATATTGGGGCTGTTATTTATAGTATATCAAAACCCTTCTCTGGGGTCTATGGGAAAAAGTATCCTTTGATTTGATTTCAAAGTGTACGCTCCGCTAAACTGCTTCTCTGTCAAGGCAAACACATTCGCACTACACTGTAGAGAATGGGCCTTTTCAAAAAAAAAAAAGGAGAAGAAGAAAGAATACTGTCTGTATCATACACTTAATACGTAATTTCTAAACCTAAATTAAGACCCAACCTATGTAGTTTACAGCCAAATAACGGGGGGACTTGCAGAAGCCCTTAAGAGTTGTTGGACGTGGCAAGTGCCGCGATTCGAGAACGCATTTTTTCGGCCAGCCCAAATACAATCTATATAAAAACAATATTCCCCTATGATCCTTCTAACTGTCACTTTATTTCTGGCTATTAGGAATCAGTTAAGCGAACCACTGGCCAGTGGATGTTCTTCAATTCAAGATCTTCCCAATTATTTCCGTATGAAGATCGCTTTTACATAATAGTTGGGCTCTCATCATCTACACAATCTGTATTTTTTTTCTTGTTCTGTATTTGATCAATCTGTGTTCACCTACAATGTAGCTGTTAGCTAGCAATACATCTCAGTTGAAATTACGGCTTATATATCATAAGATGCCTTTAAAATAACACGTAGAGTAGTGTGGGCCGCACTTTTCGCGTATAGCTTCTTAGGACAGCTGGAGCCTGTGCTGAAAATCGTGGAAGCTGCTGTACAGTTACCAATGGTTGTAGTGCTTTTCCAAAAGAAGAACGAAACTAATTAGTTAAAAGTTCTAGTACTATGATTTCAGTCAACCTTTACGATACAAGGGGACTATGCAAGTTAGAATCAGTTGATTAAAACAACTTCGAAGCTTTGTCTAGCTGACGTAGATAGTAATTCATAATAGAATAATAGAGTTGGCTTTTATCAAACGCCTACCAACCAAAGCCCCGTCGATTTACTGCGTAAGTGATCCCTTGCGACCGGTCAACAATATTATGCTTACCAATTGCATAAGCTGTAGAGCAAACTAAAATTAAGGGTCGAATTTTGGCTATTGTGAACAAGGCCAGGCTAAATATCCTCTTCCGGCAAAACCGACTACCTTTCTTGGTATCTGTATCTTTTCGATTCGGTAAATCAGACGAAACGGTAGTTTCCAACCCCTGTTACTTTTAACCGTTCAAATATTGCCATTGTTGAATTTTTTACGAGGGCCAATCCTCAAACACAATTCGCTAAATGTTTCCTAAGGAGTAGCCATTTAGATGAATAAATTTAGTCTTATTTAAATGTACAACTTGTAGGTCTTATTTTCTGTCCACTCGTTTAAGACGAGTCGCGTTCGTTCCGTGTGCCGAACGCAGCCTTATTAATCGAAGGGTCACATAGGTCTTGAATCAAGGTTCGATCACCTCAATTGACGAATACTGCACTCTATAGGCTAAATATGCCGTATAACAAAGGAACGCATTCGAGGCTGTTTGGACGTCTCGTACTGAACCTAGGCGCCACTGGTCTATGGAAGCAGATTAAGCACTTCGTATATGCCTCTATACGCGCTCTATAGCCATAACGTATACTAGCCGCGAATTTCCATTTTATAAAAGCGGTAAACCTTTTCAAGCCTTTTCTCACCTGCGTCGCCACCATGGCCAAACGACTCTGCGAAGTCGAGTATTTCAGAAAATCTTTAAACTGGAGTATATTTGGTTTCCTGGCCTATGAACGACTAGCTAGAAACGTCTCGGTGGACAAAAAACACAGTATTTACCTTTGGAGTCAATATGTGCGAGAATGTACTGTTTGTTGATGTACGAACGCCACTGGGTGTGGGTGGGCAAGTACAATACAGATTGAAATGAAATACTTTCTACATTAGACCCATTTTTTTACTACCTTGCAATGAAACGATTATCTCACAAAGTCAAACTTGAGGTAACGTACGGGTCTCGCTCTATATACTCAATTATTTCTGTTTTGTTTTTTATGTCGCATATATGCGGATTAATTTAAAAGTTGCTGCCTGTTCATATTAGTAATGGTCAATTCTTTGTAACGCTTAAAAATTATTTTTAACAGCAACCTACAATACTTCGGCATAGCGTATATCTCATAATGTCAACTTGTTCATATTTGTTTTCTTTCGTAGCGGATAGTGAGTCGAAAGAAGCGAAGAAAAAAACGTTTCACTTACCACGGTCAGTAGAACTGTTTTGGCACACCTCAAAACTAGACGTAGCACTTGAGGTAAGAGTCTTCAATTGCGGCCTCTGCTAAACATTACGTCATCCCAAAGGACAGTTGCAGGGTAAGGAACGGTACTTTTACTCATGCTTCCGCTGTTACCGTTGACATTTGTTTTCGAACGGTCTCTCTTTTAATTCAATATCACTAATGTTAGATAATTTGCACACTTGCTCGCGAAGCTCGACGCGTGTGAATGGACGACGATGGTAAAAGGAAACGCACGGCCTCGCGCACTCACGCAGAACTTAGCTCTCTCCTAATAGTCATATTTAAGTTGAACTGGCCTATTTGGCGGTAAGCCATGTAATTCTTGATAATAATAATATGTATATAAACACATGAAAAGAAAAAGAAAAACATGAAATCACACATTTTCTGCTGCCGCTTTAATCCGTCCGATGGCCGCTCTATCAGTGGCTTCTGTCTGTCGGTGATCGAGCTAGAGCGAATCCATACAATGTATTATGAGGATTATACTTGTTCTGGTTAGAGCTGTTGTAACGCTAGACAAACGTCGACGACTTTACTCCTAGCTTGTCGCTGCGCTGCGCCTTTCAATCCTTTTACTATAGAAACAGTTTGCGAGAACTATATTACAATTTTACTGCAAGCACGAATGGACTAATGGCACACACTCGGCAGACCATCGCTGACCATTGGCGGTGACTCCGCCGCTGGAACTCTCCATAGTCACAATTATTTCGTCTATATCACTATTTCGAGTTTTCTCCATTATCGACGCACACCCATACGTTCCTTCACTATTCCCCAATCGTTATAAGCTGTAGCGGCACCGTCTGGCTTGCCTGGCATCCTTCGCATCAACGCGTTGGCTGTTTCGTTCGTTCCGTTACCGCGCTCGAATACGGTTAAACTGGGGAAAAGGGGGGCGACTGCGTTGACGACAGCAAACTCTAGCTGCGTCCATAGCCATCAGTCAGTAACGTGAGGGGCCAAGCTAAGCTAATAGAAACAACAAAATAAACGTTACGATATGATGTTTGGGTCGTTTTGTGACAGTCAATATGTGTATGTCTGTCTGTGTATTTTTGTGCACATGAACGTTTCACTGAACGTTCGACACCGTCGTCAGTCTCTACGTTGAGTAACTGAGTCGACTATACGTACACTCTGGCCCTTTAGCCTTTCTGTGTGTCCGACGGCGCTACCCGACGCTAACGAGATGTCAGTCAACCGACTGGCAACGAATCGACTGCCGCACGAGCTGAGCCCGGCCCGGCGATTGTTGTCTATCGGCCGGAGGCTACATACGGCCGCGGCAAAGGATTGACCACCAGGATGACTGGCTCTGTTGTGGCCACCGGAAGAGGTCGACGCCATTACTGGTACTGGCTAACGTCCTACCGAGATTGCTAGACGAGGAACAATCACGACGACGACGACGACGACGGCGGCGGCGGCGGCGGCGGCGGCGGCGGCATTTACGGGTACTGCCAGTGCTAATGCCAATATCGAGTACTGGCAATGACGACGACGAGAAATAACAACAACAAAGACGGAACAAGCGCCATGACACAAGCAACTATTGCCGCGTTACCATCGCCACTGACTGGGCAGTGCTCGCTTCTAGAGAGACAGCAGACTCGTGCCCGCGAGTTCTCTGCGAGCGCCAAGTAAACTAGTCGACGCTGATACTACTGTTACTGCGATGTCCGCATGTGTGGAGCGTCTGTGTGTGTTTGTTTGTATGGCATGAAATACCCCGCTGTATTTAGTAGCAGTAGCGACGACGTTTAGTCAATCCTTGCATATTTCACGCCTCGCTGCACTATCAATTATCATTAAGTATACATAGAGTTATTGAAATCGGTCATTGAATCAAGTAATTATACACCGTATACACGTTTAGTATAGAAATGCGGGTACCGACAGGAATGGAGATGACAATAAACGATTCAAATACACTGAACGATCGCGCACAATTCGTTGCCATAGGTGTGCGTTCAAGGTGGGCGGCAATGATTTAACAGTGGATTTTCGTTGTTGCCTTCTCCACGTCTCTTTTCGTCGCCCCCCCCCCCCCCCGCCTGTACGGAACGCAAGGCCCCTCTTGAAAAATTTCCAAAAAGTGAGTACGTTATATTTTCCACCTTTCTCCAATAGGCCAGTTTATTATCGAGGCTGGCTGTAGCGATGGGTTGCGCCTATGCGCAGTTACCTACTAGTCGCCTCACGGTACCTCATAACGTTGTTAGCTTCTCACAACGCGATCGTATTCAGGTCGTAGCTCGCTTCAAGGCGCCCTTGCCAAGACGGTCCATTTGTTTAGAAATGTAAAGCTGATATCTGAAAGTACATTTTCAGTGTTCAACAAAAAGCACCATTTTACTTAGTTTATGGTGAACGGGTTGATTTGCAACAGGCCCATCGGTTTTCTGCTAGGTAATCTAAAGGCTACGTAATTCTTCCTGAACTCAGTGATTATTGCGGATCGATAAACGTCATAGGGCGACAGAACACGTGGAACTTACATACCCGTAGTCGACCATTGTTCATCTCAAATTGATTACTCGGTGCCCGGTTGCCTCGTGGGCTTAGCAGAACCGATTTATGGAAAAGGCAGATAGAAGGTTATCGTACAGAATGAACTAGTAATCGGACGAATTAAATAGGTGACCAAATCATCTGATGCGGGCTTTTTTTTCTAGCAAAGGCCTAAGAAAGCCAATTCGCTGCTGGTAAGACAGGTAATGCCGCGGCGAAGATCTTTAACGACCATCCACATTGAACCCAATAAACTAAGCTTAGAGGCGTGGTATTATACGCAGATAGCTGTTACTGACGGATTTATGTAAACACGTTGGTAGGCATAACAGGATATGTACCTAGTGTGCTTGGTAAGGGCTTGACAAGAACCGCTTTACGATGACTAGGTAGCCTAAGTAGATAGCTACAGTTATTAATCCCCACATTCGTAGAACCACGCCACAAAGTAGATTGTGCGTCACGTGAATTGAATTGCAACTTAAGATAGATAGATTAAATACCATAAGTATATAAACAGCTCTCAGTGGTAACATCTTATATGTTCGAACGCTTCGAAACCGTTTGCTGCGAGTCTCTCTCTCTCTCTCTCTCTCTCTATATATATATATATATATATATATATATATATAGAGAGAGAGAGAGAGAGAGAGAGAGATCTCATACACATATATATATACATACACACATATATATATACATACATACATATATATACATACACATATATATATACATACACATATATATACAACGGGCAAATCAAATAGTACTGCAGGTTTTAGTGTATCCCGCTGAAAATAGGTTATGGTAAGCATTAATGTCAAGATATATCTCCAGTCATCAAAACACAGGTCCGCTTGACCCGTATTGAGCTGGTTGGAGTAGTCGCACGCAAAAACGCAGTGGAATGAATTTAGACGATATATCATCATCAACTATGGAAAAACAAAAAAAACATTGAACGAACACATCAAGATGTTTAACTGTTTATCAATTAAATTGACACGTAGCCAGAGTTCCTTATGTCGAGCAGTCATATGGCTATATCAGGCGCACTAGCTAGTTTCGCAAGCTTCCGGGGGCCGCTGATAAGTTCAAGTTCATTTATATACTTATGCCGTTAGGAGACAGCCGCGCTAAGAGGAACTCACACGGATTTCGATTATATCTAAATAAGATAGAACACATTTTATTTCGGCCCAAAGTGATCTGGTTAAACAAAACATAGAACATGCTTTAAGCAAAACACTTACCGTATGAATCTCACAAAATGCGCGGGATATTTACAAATGTACATGTTCTTGCCTTGTGTTCAGTAACAGAATATGAATAACGTGAAGTTCAACGTGAACTTCACGAGTCCTTAGTTCAAACAGTTAGCGAAAATCTTATTGAAACGCAATGTACGCAGTTAAAATCTATCTTGTAATAAACTGCTCATGCAGTGTCAAAACTCTCTGCACATCTTACAAGGTCAAACATCGATGCTTACCTGCGACACACAGTGTACAGCTTGTTTGCAGCCGACCGTTTAGTTTGGCTGCCATTATATTACGTCGGTGTAATATCGAATAGTGTTTCTTTTTTATCATTATCGTTACTACTAGGCCTTATTCCAGGGTGTGTTTTTGCTAAAGGACCTGCCATTCGCTCCCGATAGGCTATCATCAGCGTGGCTGGCAGTTGATGAACAACCGAAAAATCGTCATCGGGCAAAACCGTACTTTTTGTAAACGTTATATATATATATATATATATATATATATATATATATTGAGGTAACGCCTAATGTTACTTTAAGTATAACGATGTCGAAGCCTCGGTCAAAAAACACTTGGCAAATTATGTGTTTAATCAACCTAGCCGATAGAGACACTCACCGATAAAGTCTAGTGCATCTTATCCTTTGACCAAGCCCATATTGGCGCCTGTACCCGTGCATCTCTTGAATAAGTTTATCTTCAATGAAATACCCGCTCAAGTTACACGTTAACAGCATTCATGACCGCTTTTCTGGTGTAGAATTGTAATTCATCGACGGCGTATTCCCTCAAGACAGCTTGAAGAACACCGTGGTTTTCCGTCACCGATTTCATATTATTTTTACTGTATCAGGTAAGTGTTCAGCTTTAAACTATGCAAGCACGCCAGGCATATTGGTCCGTGGTAAAAATGACACGGATGGTTGAAAACGTGCCTTGGGTATCTCATGAATAGGTTATTCCCCAGTGATTCACAGGGCCAATAGCATCATCGTTATGCCATTAAAAGCAGATCACCTTTAAAGCGTCAGTAAAAGCAGTTGTTGCACGACAAATACTCTTAGCTAAAACGATACGCAGCGCCATCTTGCTCGTAGGTTTCAACCTGTACGAAGCAGCGTATGCTAGCTTCGTTTGGTCCCGACTCTTTTGCGCGCGCAAATTCTAGCCTTACTATTTAGAGCCGAGTATTGCTCAGACCGATATAATAATAATAAAATTATTATTGTCTTTAC